CATGGCTTCAAGTGAAACATGTTTCCTCAATATATAAGGTGGAAGAAGACACTCACCCTCTGGCCTCCACATGTAGTCTCATACACATGCATGCACCCTCACCACCTATGCATCCCCATACATTCCAAAAGGGGGGACATGCTGTGCATATGTCTTCTCTGTTACCCCACGAAGCGTATGCAGTACACGTTTCTTGTCACACTTAACCAGAGACTCTCTGATCTGCTCGGGTCAAGGTCAAGGATCTTTGTTCCCAGCATTCCACTGGTGACACTATGCATCCTTTCTAATGAGTCACCATCCTCTTCTTGCTGTGTCCTGAAAGTCCCCAGTCTTGCTCCCTGCCCTCGGCTCCCTGCTTTTTATTCAGATAGAAGCTGCCATCCACTCTGGTAATAACTCATTACAAAGGCAGAATCTGGGGCCTTATCCATTACCATATGAGCCAGAAACACAAACAATTTCCCTCCCTGCTCTGTGCAGACAGAGGCTGGCAATTTGTCACTTCTAAGCCAAATCCCATTCCTGTTTTGAAGGCTTATAAGTCATCTCTGGCCTTCTTAGGTTGGCTCTAGGAGACTTTGAGGGTGAGCCTTCAGAGCTCCACCCTGGTGGACCTTTTCACCCCAATCACCTGCTTGCCCAACCCCCACTATGCCTGGTCCCCTCTTCAGGTCCTGCTGATCGCAGTGGTGAAAGATCTGAAATGTTTGCGCATGGCACAGTAAAGAAACCAATGATTGGCCACTCCATGATTGGGGAGAAGGTTTTTAATTGAAGGATAAGAGAGAGAAAACACTCAGAAGCATCTGGGAGAGAGAGTCCAGAGCAGAGAGAAAAAGAAGCAGATTGAGCATCAGAGAACATCAAGAGAGAGAATAGCAAGTGTAGCTGGGTAGGGTGAAAAACCCTGCTGTTATAAAGAAAGCATGGTGTGTGGGTGCGTGTATACATGTGTGCCTATGTGCATGCCTGCATGTGTGCATGCGTTCATTCATGTGTGCTTGAGTATCTGTGTCTGGACCAGTTTTGGGAGGGAGGTGAGAAAGACAAGGATGCTCACTGGGCTTTGAGATCTATAACAAGCCTGCCTGAGTAGGGACTGAAGGAGCCTGAAGGCCACCATGGACTTTTATATGCAACCCCATGTCTGTCTCAACAGAAAGCCATTAATCCCTTCTGTCAGAGGCCAGGGAAATGACCCCTTTTGGCAGATGGGAACAAGTTCCTGAGGAATACTGGCTTTTATTTAACCAGAAGAAATTCTTCTATAGTCCAGGGTGGGCTGAGCCTAGATTCAGTTTTGGACCAGGTCAGTGGATTGATGCTTTTCAAAGAAAATGAAGTACCCTTTGACCTGACATTAAACTTGGGCATAGCCTTAAAGGTCTTGGATGGGGTTAAGGAGGGATGCTGAGTTGGATTGACGATGAGCAATTTTATTAGAAGAGGATTATTATTTCCATGGACAACAGATAGGTAGTAAACCTGGCAGTAGTCTGAGATCCAGCTTCAGCACATGACAGAGAGCATGGCCAGGTCTCTGAAGAAGAATCAGAACCCATGTGACAGAAGTAGGGTCTTTTCTTACACTCTTCTGAGGATGGAGGAGGTTTCACAGTGCAAGTCAGTAGCCAGACTCTCTTATTCTCAGGCAGGAGGCGGAGAAGGGCTGAGGGGCAGGGTGTGCATCCACCTTTGATGTAAACTCATTGCCCCAGTTGAGCGATCCAGACATCTGAAAATCTGCTAGCTAGGGACTCACAGACAGCACAGACAGCAGCTCAGCAGGGAGCCCGGAAGTGAAAGATGCTTCTGCGTAGTCTTGCGGCCTGAGCAGCAACAGCTACACTTGAACATCGCATTCTTATATAGCCCATCAGTGGTCCAGGTGCAGGTGGTTCTTTTCAGGTGGAAGAACAGCAACCTTTATTTTGCCCAGCAACCTTCTACACCTCTACTCCTTCTGTCCAGACCCACCGGCCAGAAAGAACACAAACATCCTTGTCAATTACAGACCACAAGGAAGTTCCGCTGTCAGTCAGGGGGAGTGAGGGCAGCTGGATCACAACAGGCTTGACCCTGGTCAGCTGTTAAGTGGAGATTGGCAAGCCCTGGGAGGAATGAGGTCTCTGGAGGACCTGCAGCTCTGGGCCCGAGAGAAGCCTGACCTCACTGACCAGCTGATTCCTCCTCACGCACGTCTTCTTTGCCCCGAGAATGCCGACAGCTGGCAGCTGCTGGATACCAAGTAGATGGCACATGCACCCCGGGTACACAGAGAAAAGGGTGCAGCAGGAATTCCCCCTCTTGTTATATAAGCAGCTTTTAAGTTCCTGTGAAGTTCCTCCACTTGGTCCCTCGGTGTAAAAGTGATTTGGTGTTTGGTCCTTTGTAGAAAAGGTGGTTGAGCCCCGGTCTACACACTGACGCTGGATGCCTGAGTGCCTCCTGGTCCCAGGATCCACCGCTGTCAGCCATGAAAATGACCGTTACGCTTCTCTTCAGGATCCAACCTAGGGCTCTGACAGGACAGCTCTGTTTACGTCCCACTCTTAGTAACTGGCTTTTTCTCCTGTTCCCTGATCAGTGCACTTTAATTATGTTTACTTCTATGGTCCTCGGGCTCTAGGGTTGTTCTCTCATGGGGTTATGCATCAGATACCTCACCAGGATCCTTGGTCCCCATCCCAGAGTTTCAGGCTCAGTAGGCAGATACTGAGCCCAGTAATTTGCATTTCTAACGAACCTCTGGGGCTGCTGCTGACCGCTCTCGGAAGGTAGACTGGGCTCTCCAGGTTCCAGCTTGACTCTTGAGATCTCCAGTGCATGCAAGTTCAAGACACTGCCCTCTCCGGCTCCCTACTCTACTCCTCACGTCTTCACGGCAGCATTTCTCCAGGCTTCAGATCTCAGAGTCTTTCATACTCTTCAATGTCACCCAAAGAGCTTTTATTGATTTGGATTATATCCCTTGACATTACCACCATACAAAGTTAAAAAGTAGCTTGCATTTTTTAAAGATTTATTTTATTTTTAATCCTTTGGAGAGGCTTGTGAGGCTTATAGCCAAATCTTAAAGGCATTTGATCCCCTAAGAGCTGAAATTATAGGTAGGTGGTTGTGAACCGTCTGATGTAGGTTCTGGGAGTGGAACTCTGGTCCCCTGCAGAAACAGTATGTCTCTTAGTCATTGACCCATTTCTCCGGCCCTCAGAGTATCTTAAAGTGTAGCTAAATTCATCAATGGGAAGTTCTAATAAATCCATCCCATAAGTGTCCTAGTTAGGTTTCTCTTGTGATAAAAAAACTCTGACCCAAAACAGCTTGTGGCAGGAAGTTTCAGTTTCCCTGTTAGAGCTCATCACTGAGGAGATCAGGGCAGGAACCCAAGGCAGGAACCTGGAAACAGGAACAGAAGCACTGATCTTTGAGGAAAGTTTATTGGCTTGCTTTCTTATACTACCTGTCCAGGGTGGCATTGCCCACGGTGGGCTGAGCCCTCCCACAGCAGAGGGCAAATCTGACGGAGGTAAATTCCTTAGTTGAGGCTCCTTCCTTTTGGGTCATTGGCAAAAATGGCACATTTAAAAACTTGTTAAAGCAGTTTCATGAATTACATTTCTCATGGAATTAAAGTAAACTGACAGCATAATAAATATTTTCATGAAAAGTAATCATGTTTTCCACAACAACTAAAAAGTGTGAAGAATGATGTTGGCTTGCTCTCTGTTCTCAGAATCCCTTTAATACCTAACTTGTTGCAGTCAGTTGGATCCTTTTAGCCATTTGGCATTAACTGTCATGTTTTGATGAGTGTGTGTGTGTGTGTGTGTGTGTGTGTGTGTGTGTGACTGTGTGGGAGGAAAGTTCTCTCTGTCTCTCTGTGTTTGTGTGTGTGTGTAGAGTTGTATGTGTGTATGTGTGCATGTGTGTGACTATGTGGGAGGAAAGTTCTCTCTCTCTCTCTCTCTCTCTCTCTCTCTCTGTGTGTGTGTGTGTGTGTGTGTGTGTGTGTGTGTGTGTGTGTAAGGAGTGGTGATTTCAGACATTTGTCAAATTGGAAAGGGGAAAGTGTTTACAGCCTCTTTGGATAATCGTGAGTTTTCTTCTTGGATCTATATCAGAACTGCACAAGTAGTGATCTCTCAAAGATTTGCAGCCATGTAGCATCTGCAATGATGTCCATGTAGCATCTGCAATGATGTCCATGTGTCTGCTGTACTCCATTAGAACCCACTGGCCTAGCTCCCACAGGTTAGCTCTCTCTTTGGGCTCCAGCTTGCAACATTCTATGCTTGTCATATGGAGAGACTGGTCCATGGGTGATGAAGATTTCCTCATGTTGGCCAATTTCATTGTACAATCACATTCACTGAGTCATATACTCAGGGGTGAAGGAGTCAATAAATGTAATCTGAATTGTACTATGCTCCCATGAATCCATGCTCTCCTGTTAAGTGTGGTGAATAGCAGTTTGCTGAGAGCATCTTTTTTGTATGTCCAGCCATCACCAGTTTTCTCTACCATCACCTTTAAACCACAGGGTAAGTGACAGCAGTGACAGCAGAGTGGACAAGGCTGGTGACATTTTAATACTAAAATAAAAAGCTTTCACTTCATAAATCCCCTAAATTAAAAATCAGGGGCTCCTAAGGGTTTGTGGATTACAGTATATAAGCACTGGTGTTTCGTGGCACAGGATTTTGTGTGTGTGTGTATGTGTATGAGTGTGTGGAAGGAGAGGTGTGTGTATGGATGTGAGTGTGTGGGAGGAGAGCTGTTTGTGTGTGGATGTGAGTGTGTGGGAGGAGAGCTGTGTGTGTGTG